GGGACATCCGTAAAAGCCAAACGACGACATGCATGCTTCTCAATAGGTAGTCAAAAGTAGAGCTCAGTGTGTCAACACGGTTGTAAGGCGAATGCCGAAGCTCAAATCGAATAGAGTAGTACCGGATAAGCTCAAACGGACATGGTCCTATTATCCCAGCAGAAAGGAGGCTCGAAAGAAACTGCAACAAAGCTAATGACGTCGAGAATAGGACGTCGATATAAGGCAGATCACATGTGTCCTTCATCCGGCGATGACAACGACGATATGATAGCCTGTGCGATGACTGTATTACCTCTCGTCAGAGAGCCTCTGAGTGACGAGTTAGATGATGGGCTTCCGTCTTCCAAAACGCCCATAATCAACGTATCTGCCAGGTCTCGGTCTCGTTGTAGTGCTTCATCGTTATCGATGAACAGTCATCCGAAAACCTCATGAGCGTGTTTGGCTGGGCTCCCCATGCTATCACAAACATGATCGCTTTGATAGTGTTTCTTGAATCTTAGAAAAGCTCTAGTACCATGCTGCCGCCCATCCTGAAGATATCATAGCCAAGGTGGCTGAAATGACATAACCTGAGACTATTATGTATATACCCAGCCCCCTCTTCTTCTACTCTTGTTCAAAGGACAAAGCACCTCAGCGATGTAGAGAAACTTCCAGATACAAGTAGCAGTGAAGTCAGGGCTCTCGACAAATTAACGAGCCAATGGCAATTCCCGCCGCCTCCGTCTCCGCCCCCTCTCGTCTGGGTAGAGGTAGAAGTACGGCGATGCGCGCTCAGGGAAAGTATCAAGACAGACAAAGAACTAGAAGAACGAACTCGAGAATAGGAACCAAGCCATTATTGCGGCTCTATACATAGAGAATTCTACCTTCCGACACGTCTAGAGAGTAGTATCATACCTAGAGACATGCCTGATTGATTGACTGGTGTTTTCCAACTCCGATCCCAGAGTCAACCTTGGCATACATTAGATAGCGTCCTGATGTAATTACCAGTGCAGGTAAGAGGGCGTACGAGCTACTACGAGTACGTGACTCCTATATCACGTCGCTGGCCTACGAAAGGGCATCTGGAAATCTGACAACGATGCTGATATGTCTACCCGTGAAGCACCAAGACATACCACAACACCCAAACATCGGCGAATATGTCTAGAGTCTAAAGGGTCTCTCACCAGAAGACGTCAGAGGCGAGAGAACATCATTCAGGATATGTCAAAAACCAAGTAAGCCCCTGGGCACCAGTCCAAGGTCAAGCCCATCTACAATACAATCCTTCCCCTCACTATAGCAGGCACTCTATTCGCGATGGCAACATCGACAACAAGTCTCGTAGATATCACTTGTGGATGACACCGAGGGCTGCTTCATTATCATACCCAGCGCAGTCATGGTATTGGGAAGTGTATTTACAATGCCCATCTAATCAGGCATTGTATCACCACTGGTGGCCCCCACGACGTCTCACCTACGCAAGCCCTTCGTCCTTCGCCCCACGTCCCGATCCCCTGAGTCGAGATTCTCTTCGAGAAGCAGGATATCAATCAACCTCTCAAACAAACCAGAGCAAAAGTCCTGTGGCGAAAATACGGCGAACACCGGCGAAGTCGGTAAGCGGGCACCTCTGGGCATACACCCCAACACCAACAAGTTGGAAAAAGCGAAACAACTTCTTCAAAAACAGGCTGACATCTCCCCTTCCTTGATACCTCAACCTCCACGTCTCAAAGGTTCCATGTGTTTGGTACCATCAAAAAAGCTTCTTTCTACCGGTACCCACGCACACTGCGGAGCAAACGAGTTGATAGCCTAGCCAAACATCACATGAAAGACACAAAAAATCCATGCCTCATCTAAACACATCAAGGTCCCCTAAAAAGAATCATAATAAAAGGCCTCTGACATCATAGGCAGGCGGTACCCCATAGTCCCTACTACCACGGGGAAAATGGTAGCTATTTTCAGGACACTGGGTGGTGTGGGAATTTTTTTGTTACCTTCTTCAACGGGTTTCGCTAAACTCTCAGAGTGTCATGAGCAAACCCGACATTCGCCTTGGAGAGAGAGGCCCCCCCTGTTTCTGTTCTGTTCTCGTCCGATGTAGCCGTAGCACTCATCCACTTCCTGGTGGGTTTCTACCGCCCGGCGATGACTTGCATCGGTAACCCATAGGTAAGGTACTCTGCTAGCCAGCTTTCCAATGGAGCGAAGCCTGAAAGTGAACTGGGGAACCGTTTGAAAACGAGGCTGAAGGGAGATTAGTGACTCGACTGGTGAGGAATGGTACTAAATGTCATCGGTCGCGAATTTGGTAGTTTGTTGTGACAGGGACGTTCCCGTGGTGCTTCTGTTGTCTATGGAGTAGTTCTACCACGGAAATCCAAGTCGATTTCGAGTGAGGCTTCCAAAGATGCGATGGACCCACAGTCTTCACCTGCAATAGACGGACCCCTAGAACAGGGCATCAGCCAATACCAAAATACCAACTGATCTTTCTCTGACATAGGAATTCCAACAGAGAATAGAGCCCAAGATCGCTTGATCCAAGACAAGACAAGAAAGCAAAATATGAGGGCAAAACATGCAGCGAGACACTTGATTGACTCGGTTCGAGTCTCACGGGAGGACTTCCGCTATCCCGGTAGGACGACAGCACCCGGCTGACGGACTGTCCCCCCAGGCTCAGGCTCGGACCGGAGCAAAAGTGATGGACAACGTTGAACGGACACAACCACTGAGGAGGGACAGCGTAGTGATCCCGGAGACAAGCGGCCTTGTATGGCGTCTCGACAAGGTCTAAGATTAGCGGGCAGAAAAAGTAAGAGGGCCCCAGGGCCTTGCTGCGAAGGTGTTACCGGTGGAGAAGGTGGATACGTAGAAGTGTTCTAGATCGCAATAGACGCCAGCGTTGCAAGTTTCGGTGTGTGATATGGAACGGTTTTCCCTGGAGAGATGTGAGTGGAGAAATCCTGTACCTAATCCCGCGCCAGTGCCCGTGACTCTCTCAGTCTCTCTCGAGGCCCGAGAGGGTTATGATAGTCGTCCTGGTGAGACGACCGGTGCGGGGGAGAGGAGAAGAAGGGGTCCAGTCCGCGTTGGCTACTACGGCCGGTTGCGCTGCCGGGCGACTCGCCCATTTTCCGATTTGATTCAGGGCCCGAACTTGCGGTCGGATTGCGAAGGTTGATCGCTTCTGTTCAGTGAGAAACCAGATCGACAACTTTTGCGTTGCGCGTTGAACCAGCGGATGAGAAGCAGCCGTACGCTAGGCATAGCAGGGATAGCGAAACGTGGCGCGGCGGCATGAGCAGCCATGCAGCCCAAACTTGACGGCGCGAGGTCGGTCTTGTTCGAGACAAAGACAAACCTGTGGACTTGAACGAATGCCCGCCTTTCCGTCCAAGAGGTATTAGGTATATGACGCTTCTCCTACGGACGGACGAAGGCTGCCAAGACTCGCAAGTTCAAACCCGATTTTTTTATGTCGAGATTCAGCCCTCAAAGGCCCGCGGCGGTGCTCAAAGTGATGACGTTTCGATTACGGGTCCCGCACCGAGCAGATGGAAACCTTAGTGGTGGTACAAAAATTGCGCTGAAGAAAAGGGGGGGGTTCTCAGGGCTCAAGGTTGACGGCGCCGGCTGCATGACGAAATAATAAGACCATTTGGACGGATCACGGGTAGGTTTCCGTAGTCGCAGTGCGAATGGACTATGGAGGTGAGAGAAATCAGGGTCCATAGTTGTCTGAGAGAATCTGTGGGAGCCGTTGCCCGCTGCAGAACCACTGCCCTGGCCTGGCTTGGAAGTACAAGCGTTTGAAGGCTCCAAGCGGACGAACAGCAGTCGTCCATTTGACAACAGGCATCAGTGCTTTATTGTTTCATGCCAGTAGAAAGGCGAAAAGGCGTGTGAGTGGACACACGCGCTTGTCTCGAGTTGAAAAGTGCCGTTTGGCTTCTGTCTGCGTCGTTGATTCTGCTCGTCTGCGAGTCGTTAGTGCTACTGTTTCCGTGATTCACTACCGGTTGGCTACTCGATGAGCCGTTGGGGTCTGCGAACTGAGAACCCTGCAGATGGCACAGAGTTGCTTTAGCCAGGCGCTATGCAGCCTCAGAGATAGCGTAGCCTGTACCCAGCAAATGAGAAGAGCCGTCACTGATGCGCAGGCGTCGAGTGACCGCGCAGCAAAGGACCGAGGCGACTCGGCAACATTGGCACCATCCCAGATCCCTAGCATCTTACGACTCGAGCAGTCGCGGCTGGATTGCTCCGTTCAAACAAAGACTAGCAGAGGGGTGGGCAGCTTTGCGAGTAAGGTAATTAGGCGGTGCTTCAAGTTCGCACCTGGCGGGTGGTCCACTGGGCCAGAAATGTAGAGGTCATTGATTATGACCGTGATGGGGCCAAAGGTGAATAGAACGTCCTTGGTAGGCTGACGGAGCAGCTGAAAAGCCTCGTATGTTCAAGGGAATGACTGCCATACCTAGAAGCAGGGTGGCACACGTTGCCCTCAGGGCTAGCTCACCATCCAATTGCCATCGAGTTGTTGAGAATGAGATAACCGGGTGGTGATGGTGTGATGACTTGGTGAGGGCGCCGTCTGCCGTCTGCCGTTATCGCCCGGTGGGAGCCCCAGGACCCTGAGTTTCTGTTTCGATGGAGGATGAACAGGTTAGGGAGCTTGTAGCTGCTGGTGCTGCTGTTGGTGTTGTAACAGAAGACTGAAAGGAAGCGCGCTGTGCAAGATGGGACGGAGCTACATCCGGTGCGGGTGTCCGGGTGACAGGCGTGTCCCCTGTTTCCTCAATGTGCCGTCCTAGCTAGTGCCAACTGCCCAGAAGGTTGCAGGAAGCGATGGCACTCGACCGGTCAGCGGGCGGGACGCTTGTGACGCTGGGCGCGCAAGCTAACATGGAGTGGGGATTGGTACTCTGCTGAATCCTGATAAAAGCTGGTCAATTGTTCGTGTCGGTGAGGAAAAACAGGGCGGCATGTCAATGCCAAAATGCGTGGGACAGAGTGGGAGGAACCATGGATGCGATGGATGCAGAGTGAGACCCAATGGCTTGCGGCTTGAGGGGGGGCACGGGGAGGGTTACGACTGCGCTTTGCGGAAGGAATCCACCGGCCGAAAATGGATGCCCGGGCAGAAGTCCGACAATGGTCGGGGAACGGGTGAACGGGGGACGGGCAGACGGGATGGGAATGATGGGCGACTGGGGGGGGGTTGGAGAGCGGAAGGACACGGGGTGAAGGGGAGGAGGAGGAGGAGGAGGAGGAGGAGGAGGAGGAGGAGGAGGAGGAACGAATGGATGGGGAAAAGACGGGAGAAATGCGAAAGATGAGGAATGCCAGTATGGAATTGGTGGGCAATTTCCCATGATCAATTCCATTGGCATCGGGTCCCTCGCCTCTTCTGCATTGTGGCCCCAGGCAAGGTACTCAGGCATCTGGACGAATACAGTTAAGAAAAAAAGAGACATGAGGGCAAGAAAGGGGAGGGCCAAGAATGGAAAACTTGGAGAAGTACGGGCACGGGAAGGGAACATGGGATATCAGGCGAGACAGCAACAATACTCCGTACCGTAATCGTAACACCTTGCAGATACGGATACAAGATGGGGAGAGGGTCATTGGGGGAGGGGGCGGATGGGAGTGGAAGTAATTTGCCATAAACTTGGAAATGCAAAATGGGAAAACCCTCGAAAAGGTGAGGGCTGAGTCGGAGCTGAAGCACGAGACGGGCGAACGGTGCCACGGTGGAGGTTTCCGTTCCAGCTGTTGTCTTTCTCCCACTTTTGATTTGGCGACCTTGGCCCTTGGGACCTTCCATCGCGAATATTTCACTACGGATACGTACCCCGACGAGACCTCACGTGCCGGGCACATCTGCTACTCCGTACTGAAGGTAGGTACGGGCGGCAGCCATGGATATATCCGACCCGAACTTGTGCTTTCCTTGGGACCCCGTTTATTGTCAACGTGGAAAGTACCTTATGGAGTATACACATTCATGCCTTCCATTGCGTGTGCGCGTGTTTCCCAATGGAAGGCGCCTTAAGCTACCTCTGGTAAGACTCAAGAGAAGGTACTCGTAGCACCTGCCGGATTCCTCACATATGGATTGGTAAGGAGTAGTGTCTTAGTAAAACCAGAGGCAGCTCCCATCCACCATGCCATCTGACAGCCTGCCAAACCTGGAAAGTTGGAACAGGATTGGCGGCTCACCTGAAGGGAGATGTTTATCGATATTTCACTGTTAGTGGTGTAAATGGCCGCGTCTCCGTTTCAAGTGTGCCTGATGGTAATTGATCGTTACCTAGGGGGTACTCTTGGTGTTGACCGTTGACGCCTAAGGACTTTCCCAGGTTGTAGGGGAAATACCTAGGTACTATATGGTAAAGGGGCGTTGCTCTATGAACCATGTCGATATGCAAAAGCTTGCGCTGTTGTCTTCGGCGACTTTCCGGCATGATGCCCTGCTTCCATTTACAGTCTTCCATTGTAGTAACCCAGAGCAATTGTTGACGACATCGTAAGAAAACTGACCAGGAATCAGCAGGTTAGGTTTTAACCGTTTGAACAGTCGGCGACGCATCATCGCCAGGTACACGAGTCGAACAGAGTTGATGGAATAGTTCTAGGCCCTCGGGACGATGAACAGAGTTTGAGCGAGTTGGGCAGACAAAGTTGCAAAGCTGATAAACTCTGTTGTGTTACGCAGCTACCGGTAGCTACCTGAACCTCAAAGGCCCATGGTGGTATTACGAATGTTCGCCGATGAAAGGGGCCCCACGCCGAAATGTCAGCTGAAATGGACGACGGGTACCTGACCGTTCGTAATGCTGGCCTACGTCATTCCCGAAGGTAAGTCCGTCAGCAGGGGGGGGTTCACAGAGAAGCCAATTTGGCGAGGCATCATGCCAAACCTCGCCTCCTGGGCAGAATGGCCTGATAATTCTGTCAGGTACGACATTGATAGAAGGAAACCAGACAGCTCTGTTGAAAAATAGGCAACGAGGCAGATTTCGATGGCTTCGTATAGCAGTTTGTATAAAATGGTCATTCGAAAGGCTGGAACACTGATGGCGGCCAAAACGGTTCAACAGTGGGAGAAAATAGCTGCAGGTATTCGTACCTAGGTATTCGTACTGTGGCTGTACTGCGTGGTGATAGAAGGGCAGGTACGGATACGTACTTGGAGAGAAAGACCAATGCTCCTACACGAATTGAGCGCAGAGGCGCGATTGGCTGTTGGGCGGCGTCGAAAAGGGGTCCAGACTCGTCGAGACTTGGGATGATGATGCTAGATTGCTCATCTACATGGGCCTTATGACGTCTGCACCATGCGGACCCCACTTCCCAAATAAAGAGTAAGATCTCGAGTCTGGGCAACTGTTGGAGGGTGCAAGGTACAGGGAAGGTATCGATACCTTGGACACTCTGAAAGAGATGAATTTATCTCTCTCCGTATTCTTCATGGTAATTAATTGGTTGTGTTGTATCTCGACTGTGACGCTTCGTTGCAACACCTGTTGCGGTGGCTGTAGAAGCACTGTAAAAAGCTTGCATCCAACGTCGAACAAGGGACGAGCATGTCCTGGGAATGAATGGCATATCCAGCTTTACACCGTTGTCTTTTGGACGATATGTGCGTGTTCGCGGCTGCGGCTAATGGGGGCTTGCCCTGTCGATTTGTCCTCCACTGGGCTCTTGGTCACCGGACAGCTCGCAGAAAATGCGAGGAGTAAGGTTGGCCAGGTTCTTGATAGATGGTCGACCGTTGACCGGCGCTTGCGCTTGTTGTCGTGTGTTTCGGACCTGGTGCTGGGTGTTGTTCATCCATTGCTTTTTGTGGTCTCGCGATCTTGCAGCATAAAACCTTCTCTTCATGCCCCCCTGCTTCCTTGTCTCCTCCAGACTTTAGTGGTGGTAGGATCCAGAGCGGTGGTTCAAAGACAAGCCGGGAACAAACGGTACATCTGCAGTACCTACTCCGTAAGGTACCTTAGCTATGAAGAGAGAACAAATTATATGTGGTAAGGTTGTGCTCGCTGCCTTTTGCGCCATAGCTCATCTCTGAGGGGACGCACAGCCGAGAGCTTGTCCAATGAGAAACGACCAAGAGACCCCGTCAAAGGAGCGCCTCCCATTCTATGACGCGGTGGACGGGACATCAGCCCTGTGGAAATTGACTGGGTGTCTCGTACAGTGTTGAATAATCTCATACGCACTCTATCTGCATATCTGCCACACCCATACATACCAAAACAGCATCGACTCGCACCGTACATGTCCTACACGAACACCAGCATCCTCACGTGATGAGCACTGCTTTACACAGGGCTGATGTCAGCGACTCCGCCGGGCTAGCCCCAACGCGCCGATCCCTCCCATTCTGGACGACACACGACCTCATCAGATATGACACCCTCTTTTTTGTCCATTCTCTCCCCCACTGCGCGCCATGCTCTCGTGCTGCCCTTTCCCTGAGTTCATGGCCAAACAATTCCAAAATACACGGGTGCTGAAGGCTCTACGGATCCCCGTATCGTGCTTACACCGTCCGTCCGTTTTGGCCCAGGGACAGCCGTCAACATGGTACCTGCCATACTCCGTGCCGCCGCTAACTTCTCAGAGATGCGGTTCCGCACATGTGCTTTGAACGGTTCAAATTGCTGAGAGAGGGCTGAGAAGTTAGAAACACACTGCCTTGCCTTGCCTTTGCCTTGCCTTGCATAGCTCTAGCCATAGTGGTTTTTTCCAAGCCGTTGCCCAGACGGACCACCATCCATCCCATCGTCTATCACCACGAAGAAGATGATTCGAATGTGAATGTGGCGCCGCTGGCTGAAATCCAAACTCTCCCAAGCAAAATCAACTTTAACCAACCAGCATCAAAGTCCAAAATAAACCCCAAGAAAAGTAAAAGAGAAGCGCGCCAGAAAAGAGACAGAGAGAAAGAGAGAACAGCGGCCGCGACACACACATACACACACCACACCTGTTTCTTGCTCCCACACCCAAGTATCCCTTCCCTGCCACAAGCCAGGGGTGCCCCCCCATTCTTCTTTCTCGTGCGCGTTCCCATTCCCATTCTCTCTTTCTCCCAGGACCTGGACCCTTTTTTTTTTTTCTCTTTCCCGTCTTCACCCCTTCCGCTTCCCAAGTTGCTATCCGTACATACATACTCCATAGTGTACGAAGTAGTAGTGTACCTATGCTCCAGTGCTCGCCTTGTCTTTCAACACACCCCCCAGACCTAGCAGGTGGTCCTCCTTTTTTCCTTTTCGTGCGCGCCTTTGATTTACGTCTCCCCCACTAGCCCATCTGTCCAGCTGCTCAGTGCCTGTTTTCTTGGACCTTGCTTGGCTTGGTTCACCCACATCGTCTCCCGCTGGCGTGTCGTCCCGCTGCTTGACTTCTATTGCGCTGCGCTCAACCCGAGGCGTCTTCGTTCTATTATTTCCCAAGCTACGGACACGGGTCCAGAGTATCCATACTCTGTACAGGAGTACACATCTCAGTCACACTGTCGCAATCCTCTCACGCTCTCTCTACCTACTGGTTCTCGGGACGCCGAACGCCACCACCCTGTCCGGCCTTCGTCAGCTCAGCCCAGTGCATTCTTGACCACACCGTCCTGTCTTCTACGCAGTTGAGACTTGAGTGTAGGTTCAGGGTCAGAGTCAAGAGTCAGAGTCAGAGTACTGTCCATCAGGTGTAATCCCTCTCTGCCTACCTTACCTTTTCTCTCTCATCCTTCGCCTAGGGCACCGCTCAGAAAGTCACAACTCAACCAAGCAAAGGGCCAAGCAATCACACCCCCAGGTCCATACCGGGTTCAGATCGCCACTTGTGCCGTCACGTCAGAACCCCCCCCCCCCGCAACCTTCTTTTCTCTCTAAAAGACCCCCCCACTGCCTGTTCCTTTCCCTTTCAAAGAGCCTCTTCCGCACACCCTCCCTCCCTTCCCATTCCCTCCGATCTATCTGAACCCTATCCGACCTTGCCATAACCGTCCCGCCCAAAACGCCGCCATACCGGAATGGCGCTTTAATTGTTGACCAAGGCCTCCAACACTTGGCCCGTCGTCCGGAACAATATCCTCCAGAAACATCAGTGGCACACACTCATCCTCTCTTCAACTACCTACACCTACGGATACACTAACCATGCTCGACAAGAGGAGCAACGACGGCGCAACATCCGTCCACTACACCATGAAGACTCCTCACTCTGCTCCCAGGCCTTCGCCGGCGCCGCGATCTTCCCATAGCCACTCGCACTCACAGTCCAAACTCGCCGTCCCGCCCGCGAGGACTCCTAATCCTTCTACACCCGTGGCATCTCCAAGAATGCCCTACTCCGTCGGCCAGTCTATGCCTCCCGGAAAGCTATCCCCCACGAGACAGGCAGAGGCAAGAGCCGCGAGTCCAAACTACTTCGGTCTCGTTGTCGAGCAGTCCGTCGACCCAAGAGAGTCTGCCTCTATGCCACGAGACAACTGGAGCTCCCCAACCTCGTCCGTTCGGTCCTTTGGCGGCGCGCTGCCCAAGCAGGTTCCCATCGATGCTAATCCCGACTATGAGGCCTTCAAACGGCAAGCCGATCTCAATCGCGGTGTGAGCTTCAGCCTCTCCTCCTCTCACTTCCCGCAAGCGCCCCCGAACCCGACCACGCTTCGTCCTCGACCGCCACGGTGGAATACTCATGCCAGCGATCACGCATCGGACTTCTCGTTACCTCGAATCCCCACGGAGCGAAAGCAGAGCAAGGAAGCTGATCGGAAAAGCTTGAACGACTCGGCATACGCTTCCTTGGAATCCAAGCGAAACTCCGAGGCATCGATACAACCACCACAGATCTTGAACCTGAACATGCCAAGATTCGAATCGCCGATGCAAACTGAGTCGCCTTTCGAACGTAGAACGACGCTGTCAAAAGTAGAAGACCGTCACCCCAGGTTATCCATCTCACAGAATAAACCGGACGCGCCAGCGCCGAGCTCTGCTCGAGCGAACCAGCCACGTGCCGAGACCTTGCCGCCGACCATGGAAAGCGGCCCCTCTTTGATTGCACCGTCACAATTGAAGGACCTGATCGAGGCCGACGGCTCAGAAAGTGATCTGTTGCTTCTGGATCTGAGAGTGTCACAGCAATATGCCCA